ACACGAATACATTTCTGGTAAAGTGTTTAGATTATTTTTAGAATCTTGAGATTTTTGTGTAATTGTTCAGCTAATAGCAAACACCATTCCAGAACTGGAGTCCAGGACTCAGAATTCCAGAATGGGAGTCTGGGACTTAGAATTCCTATCCAAAATGCTGCATATTTCTCTGGAATAAGTCTAAACCTTATTAAGCTGTTCATCTCTGACCTTCAGAGATCACAAAGGTAGTTACAGAAATAGACACAGCTGAGCATTTGCTTAATTCATATTCTCGAGACCTGGAAACTCTGTGTCTCGGCGATGAGTTTGGGGAAAACGGGCCCTAAAATGAGGAAGGCTGCATGACTTAGACCAGAGAGGTCTGGGCATGTTACTCACGGGTTTGTTTGAACAGAGGGGAAATGTGACGGGCCATGTGATGCCATCAGATGCTGAGAGCAGCTGCCCGTGTTTACTTCCTTCACCGAGTGATTTTCTAGGGGGGAGACACTGGGACCTTTTCGAGGGGAACGTTATGAATCGCTAATTTGCCTGTTACGGGTAGAAAGTTCTCTAAAGATGGTCAGCTGTTCACAGAGGATCTGCAGACACAGCAGTGTGGTGAATGCAGGGGTTGGGGGGGTGGGGGGAGGTGGAAGAGGGTGTAGGGGGAATAACTGGTAATGGAGAAAATGCAATAAAACGAACTATTAAAAAATACACTGCCTTGATATGAGAACACTTTAACTAAAGAGACTTAGGAGAGTACATTAACAACCTGAATTGAAAGTGAATTTGACGTTGGGTAGGGTTTGCTATAGAGTTAATCAGGTGGCTCTTGCTGTGTTGTTTAGAGTGATAGCTCTGTCCCTGACTATTTACAGATACATTTGTCCCTTGGTGTGCGGGGGCTGGGGCACAGGACCCTACGTGTTCCAGGACCCCACGTGTTCCAGGACCCCCCATAGGTACCAAAATGCATGGATACTCCAGTCCAGGTCACCTGCACACATCCTCCTGTATACTTTTAAAGTCATCTGTAGATTACTTATGATATCTAATACAGCATAATTATTATACTGTATTATTTAGGAAACAATGACAAGAAAAACTGTCTGTCTGTGTTCAGTACAGACGCAGACATCATAGGCCTAACTACATGTCAGCAATGACTTGACCTAAAAATTTTTTCCCAAGTATTTTCCATCTGAGGTTGGTTGAATCTGTAGATGCAGACCCAGTGCATGTACAAGGCCAACTCTATGCATTTATGCATTCCTTTGGGCTCACAAACATTATGTATGAAACCTAAACATGTGTTTGACTGGTAAGGTCATGGCAGGAACTTCTTTCTCTATGTCTCATAATGCACAGAAGAAATTGTGCCCACCCCCACACCGTGCCCACTCACCCTCCACCCCACTCTGATTAGCAGCGTACTGCGTACTGCTTAGCGTGATATCAGTGACTCCCCTTTGAAGACTCTAGGATTCTTCAAGTGGAGCTTATAGACCTTCAGGGAATCTGTGAAGCAACCCTCCGAAATAATGAGCAAAAGTCTATATGTATGTCTCTCCACCCCCTCACCCCAAAGTGAGTTCATAAAGCTTTTATCAAAATGAGGTGACCCCAACAAAGGTTAAGAGTAGCTTTGCCCTGTACACTTAACTCTGTCTCAGCAACATAGCGATTCACAAAAGAGAATACCGGCTTAGAGCAAAGGCTGGAAATTTATTGACAGGCTAGAATTGTAGGAGCCTGCAGAAGTCAGCTAATTGCGAGTGGCTGGTTGGGGAGAGGCTGGAAATTGCAGTGAATGTGCCCTGCATGAAGGCTTTCGAATCAAAACAAAGCTGATCGAGATAAAATGTCTGCTCACCTTAGCAGGGGTAGCTTCTACTGTGGTAGAGAAAAAAAATGAGGCCTCCTTGCTGGCTACTTACCAGGTGATGCCACATGATAACTTATGCACCTTACCTAGCACAGTAAGTCTTAAGTTGCCAATGTACACCTTCCCCTGCCTCCACACTCCTGTGCCTCCAAGTTTGGAGTCAAGTTGGCTGTTCCCCTGGAATTCCATGGACAGGTCTTCTCTTTCCCGGCCTCACCTTCAGGCCTGTGAATTGCACAGCTTCGGGGCCCCAGGTGCACAGGCTACACCCTGAGTGGGGCCCCAAGCTGTGCAGCTGGTGACCTTTCTTTATTCTTCTTTCTCTTTTTTTCTCTTTTTTTTTTGGTGGCCTTTTTTTGCTGTTGGCCTCTTCACTGAGGATGGTGTTTTGCAGACATCAAATCCAACCCCTTCCACTTGTCACCACATCTGTGGCCGCCACTGCTGCTTCCAGCATGGTCTCATCTGTTCTTATTTATCACTCCTGACCCCTGTTACTTTTCTCACACTTCTAGCTTTTGTGAGTAAAGGACTGGCCAGCCGCCAGGAAGATGCATTTCTCCCCTAAGTGTAAAAGGGCTAATCTCAGAGCTTTGGGTAAATTTTTTTTTTCTCCAGGAAACTTCCAGCTTTATTGAGGGGCTCCCCACATCAGGCACAGAAGTTGTTTATGTGTTTGTTTGGTTGGGGGGGCAGGATTTGTTTTCTGTTTTGTTTTGTGCTGGTCGTGTTATTTTTCAGCTGGTTCTAAGGTCAGGGGTCTCAGCCTTGGTTTACACATTAAAATCACCTGGGCAGCTTCTATAATCTCTAGCACACAGTAAGTCTTGAATCAAAACAAAGGCGACCCTCCAGAATAATTGCAACAGCATAGCTGGGATAGGACCCGGTTCATCATTTTCTAAAGTGCCCTAGGTGATGGATTCCAACAGGCCCCCAAATTGATAGCCACTAATCTAGGCTAAAATCCTAACATGCTGGGAGACTGAATTCCAAGTCGTGGAAGCTTGATTTTATATTTAAAAACAAAGCTTCACCACCAAATAGATGTTTGTTTTCAACATAGTCTATCAAAAATAAAAAAACAAAGCAAAATATGGTCTACCTTTTTTTTTTTTTTTGCTTTGCCCACGCCTTGTAGGAAAACCTAAAGGGTTAAATTCCTTGTTTCACCAATGAATCCAAATCTAACCATTGCAGAAAAAATATATATTCATTGTTGCTTTAGTCCCAAATTTAACACAAGTTTCAGAGAGCACTTAGGCCTATATTTTTAGCTAAGCATAGAGCTGTAGTGCTGGGAGACACGGAGAATTTCAAAATAGTTTGCTACCTAAAAATATACTTCCTGAAATGAACTTGAGGCCTGGGAGGGATGAATGGGTTTATTTTTTCTTCTATATTTAATGTTACCACAAGAAAGCAAATCTTGAATTTATAGATATTTATATTTTTAGAGGCCCAGGAAACAGGTGCTCTGTCCGAGCGACAAAGAGGGCTGAGTGGCAAAGCGTCGATGCCAGAAATCTGAAATTTGCAAACGGGGAATGTCCATGGCATTGAGACTGCTCCTTGGGCTTTAGGCAGGGGTGTACTGAACACGGGGAGGGGAGGAGGAGGCTTTCCAAGTGTGATTCCTGGGAGAAACACACCTCCCAACTTCCTAAGGTCCAAGGACTAGTGCCAGACGTGGTCTGGGTGTTTCATCTTCCTAAGTGTCCTCAAGTTCGTGTTTATGGACCAAAAAGCCTTACAGTCTTATCTCACTTGACTCTCCAAAGGCACACCTTGACTTATCTTCATTGCCAGTGGAAACGAACCTCTTTGAAGGAAATGATGGGGAAGGAGGCGCTATACTTTTTGACTGCCTCTCAGCATGCAATATGTGAGCTGCAAAGAAGAATGAATATTGTATTTATAATCACACTTCCCGTGGATGCGGTGGGGGGAAGTGTTCTATATTTTTCCCCACGATATAAAGCACCAAAAGCAAACTTCTTATATTCATTTCTTTATGTATTTAGCTTTTCACTCATTCATTCACTCAATAAGTATTTTTGGATAGCTGCTTCTATGTGACAGGCCCTCTTCTTGCCACAGTATACAAATGAGGCAGATAAAATCTCACAGGGGTTGCATTTTGGTGGATTGTGCAGAAGATAAAACAGAATCTGGTCATAGTTACCTGTGGGCTGCTTTAGGGTGAAGAGCTGACATTTAAGCAGAGATCAGAAAGGTGACAAAAAGCCAGACAAAGGGAGTAGCAAGGCAAAGGCCTGAGCAAGGAAGGAACTTGGCTTCTTCCAGATTAGCCCAAGTGTCCAAAAGCTAATAGGTAAGGAATAAGAAGGCTGCTGCTGGTGGTGGTGGTGGTGGTGGTCAGAGAGGTAGCGTGTGGCAGACCCTTGAGGTGGAACCCTGCCTTTACTCGCCTGTAAGACTCCAGTGCCTCAACAGTGATTGGGATTATTCCTAGGCGTGACTCAGTCCATGTTCGTTCATCCACTGATTTCCCTCAAGGCAACAGAGCGAAGTCAGAGCCAGCCCTTTGCAAGAAGACCCCATAGCTCTTTCAGGTGGCGGTCAGGGACAAGGTGGCCAAGTCCCGCCTCACCTACAGGGTCTCCTCTCAGTTGCCAATTCCCTTTTGCACCTCACAGTTCTGCTGCCTAGTGGCCTCTCTGCGTGGGTGGGTGGCGCCTGTTGTCTGGCTTCCACATCCTCTGTCTTCCTCTCTATTCCGGGTTATCCTACCCTCATCTGTTTCCTCAACTATCCACCCAACTAGACTCTAACTTCCCAATGGGTACTTTTCCTGGTGCTCCCAGCACCCAGAACAATGCAATGGGCCAGTCCAGTCTCTGTTTCTTGATGGAACGATAAGGTTCGTATAGGAAGAGTGCCTTATAAAATCACGGACAAAAGCAAGAAGTTATTCCAACCTCCCCCTACCCTGCAATGGCTTTTGTTACGGATTACATAGGGGCAGGGAATTCTCACGCCTTCCTCCGTATTCATTCTTCTGACATCAGGTTCGTTTGAAACTGCATAACAGCATCAGGAACTCATTGGCAGGGTGCCTGGCCGTGAGATAATCACTCAGTGTATCTTTCTGTTCCCTCCACAGTTAATGATGACATGATGATCACCAACAACAACGGTGCAGTCAAGTTTCCACAGCTGTGTAAGTTTTGTGATGTGCGGTCTTCCACCTGTGACAGTCGCAAATCCTGCGTGAGCAACTGCAGCATCACATCCATCTGTGAGACGCCACACGAAGTCTGTGTGGCCGTCTGGTAAGGTCGCCTTTTCAACAATCTTTCCCTCCCCCGCCTTATAGTAGGTAACACGGGCTCGTGGAGCATAGAGTCCTGGTGTGTTCATGCCCCAAGCGCAGACAGTGTCCCAGTTCCCTCTCTCAAACCATCTTTTAATTGTTAAATGAAGTTTCCAGAGATAGTCTGTACATTTTCAAGTGCACACACACGTGTGTCTATAGGAGATGACCCTTAATATTTGTAAAAACTCTGGAGACCCTTCCTTGTATGAAAAAGTGGAATATGACACTCGGTAGTCATCTGATGACACCCCCTTGGCGCCCCATAGTGACGCCAGGAGCTTTGTTCTTCTGAGGCGACCTCAGTCTGGTTTTGTGGAAAGGGAACAGATGACAGGTGGGCTGTTGGAAGAGGAAAGCACTTTTCAAAAAAAAAAGGGGAAGCAGTTCCTGAACCAGAAAACAGCCCATTCCTTAGGGGGCCTGGCCGTGTCCTCACACCACCCTGCGCTACACACCACATCTTTCTCTTGGATCAGTTCCCTCTATCCTCTCCCTCCCCGTGCTCTCTCCCCCAAACCTCACCACACACACACACACACACACACACACACACACACACACACAGTGGGTGCTCATAAATCATCCAACTAATTCATAGTTATAAATTGGGAGTATGAGTGAGAGATCAAAGAAAAATAGGGATCATCAGAAAAGTACCATTTTATAAAAATGTGTAAGTTCATTAATGCAATACAACATTTTGCAGCTGTATTCTGCTGTTTTGAATTCACGGGCTGTTTTTAAGTAACTGATGGGTCTCCTGGCCAGTGGCCGATGAGAATATAAACCCAAATATCCTTCCCTCCTTTTGCGGAATGAGTCTTTTGGACTTTCTCCAGACCACATGTAGTCAGTCTTGATGATAGATCTAAAAACCTTGCGAATTCTGTACCTGCTGAGGTACGAACTCATTTCTCAAGATCTAAAGGGGTGTGAGCAGCAAAGACGAGTCACGACAGCCCACTGTACCTGCCAGCTCCATTCACGTCCAGTTCTGAGACATGCTTCTGGAAAAGGAATTGTGACAAAGATTGTGTTGAGAAGAAGGGACGGTGTGATCAGAGGTTAGAAGCTGTGCCATCTGAGGAATGGCCCAGGCAATGAGACGGATCCAGGAGAGAAAGGACGTGATATCTCCTGAGATATCTCAAATGGACAATATAATAACCGTTTTCTTCATAGCTCTGAAGGGCAGGAGGAGGACCTACAAAGTTTACAAGGAGACAGACATGTGCTCAGTACATGTTTAAACATTCTCATTATCATGGTTTCCCAACAGCAGAAGAGACTTCCTTCTCGGGAAGAGTCACACAAAGTTCGGCAGAGGCTGGGTGACGGGCAAGTCTAGTGCAGGGAAGATTGAGACACCCGACGGGATGACCTCAAGGCTTCCTTCTTCACTTCTCTTCTCCGCTGACCATCTGTGCTTAAACATCCACTGTGGTGTGAGCGGACACTTCTGCCAATGGGAAAAAAAAGGCTCTTTTAATTAAGATGTTTTTCCTGGACTCGCAGTACAAGTCCAAATGATTGATTGTGAATCAGGTTGCTGGAATAGAAGCTTTGCTTGTCTCGGCAAATGTGAGCATGTGGGGGAGAGGAAGCCTCCCTGTCTCCTCCGGGACCCGGCTGCAAAGAGGAAATACAGTGAATGTGAATTTCCACCTGTCTCGGTGAAGACAGATAGTCCCGTGGAGTGGGAGTGTGATGAGGAGAAAGGTACAGGCAGGGGATGCGGTGCTGTACACCCTGACCCCCTTCAGCATCGAGGGTCTCACCCCCACAGCCTCGGGAGCACTGGCTGCTGAAGGATTATCCCCCAGTCCCTCCTGGGAACCCCCTGCCTGAGCAGAACTGCTTCATTCCAGTTCGGCCTTTCTTCAAGTTTGGCCCTTCTTCCTGGGCAACTCCCATCCTATAACTGAAAGATGCGAGGGTCCAAATGCCTGGCCGCTTTGCCTCAATTTGGGATAGCGCTGACGGACCATCCCAGCTTTATGAGTCCTGAGGGATCAGCCGAGTCCTGTAATTGCAACCTGTGTTGCGGTTCAAATCCTCCAACGTGCGGTGCTGCTCCCTTCAGTCACTTACAGGCGCCTCTCCAAAAACCTCCTGCACAGAAACCTAGTGGCCTCAATGTCTGTTTCCAGGGCACCCCAAACAGGAAAGGAGGATGTTTTAGAAATAGCCACAGGCAGAAACTGAAAGCCTCTGCCACCATGGTGCATGCCTTCCAAGGTCTTTATCAGTCTCAGTGTTCATTTCACTCATTTGTTTGTTTGTTGTATAACTAATGTCAAGCTGTGCACCCATTTCATGTAAAATGTTCAAGTTCTTCCCAAGAATAGAACTATATTGGAGCCAAAATTAATTTCATGACTGTGTTTTTTTGTCCCCCAGTGGCTACTGACAAACTCCTCAATTGCTCAGAGCAAACATGGCAGGACAAAGAAGTCTGTATTTTTTTTTTAAAGAAAGACTTCTTTTTTTTAAAAGATTTTATTTATTTATTTTTAGAGAGGGAAGGGAGGGAGAAAGAGAGAGAGAGAAACATCAACGTGCGGTTGCTGGGGGCCATGGCCTGCAACCCAGGCATGTGCCCTGACTGGGAATTGAACCTGCGATGCTTTGGTTCGCAGCCTGTGCTCAATCCACTGAGCTACGCCAGCCAGGAGAAGTCTGTATTTTTATTGATGTGTTTTCCCTTCCTACGCTTAGCTGTGTGAAGTGAGTTCTGCTGTCAGGGAGAGCACTGTTGCAGGACTGAGTGGAGAAAGCAGTGAAGGACTTGACCCAGACTCAAGTATCGTAGCTCAGTTTCCTCTCTGTAAGGTTAGTTCTCTAGGCAGTGAGGGTGTGGAAAGCAAGAGGCTCCGGAAGAGAGGCCCCATCATTACAGAGCAGTGGCACTCACAGTGCCTTCCTCCTCCCATTCCTTGGCCTTTAGAAGCTTCACAGCAGAGAGATGCTCTGCTTTTCCCTGGGAGAAGAGAGGTCTCAATGTGCCTTCCTATGTATCTGTGCATATGTGCATATGTATGCACAACACACACACACATGCACCCGCTTTGGGGGCAGGGAGGTGGTCTTGTTTCAAGGCCACCATTTCTGCTAGGACATCCTAGTAGCTTTCAGGTGAAAGATGAGGAAATTTTTAAATGTACGTCATTTGCTATGTGATCATGTGCCAAGTCAAGTCTTATCGCATTACCTGCTAGCGCCCTGGAGTGAGGATTCTGATTGCTGCTCCTCTTCTAACAGCAGGGGTGTGCAGAGCAAGGCCTTGCCTCTCTTGGCATTAGTTTGAGAACAGTTGATGTGTATCACGAAGTGGCATGCCTGCTTCTGCTGGAGTCGCCTCTGGGCAGGCTGGGCAGGATGGATGTCGCAGATAACTTCATTCCTGGCTGGGTGTTCCAGCCTCACCCTTATTCCTCCCCTTCTTATCCCCTTGTTGACACACTGTCCTTTAGTGACCTTCAGTTAAGCACCGAGTGGGGGCAGTGGACAAGTTGCTCTCTCCCTGTGGGTATGGGCCCACCTCTTTTCCAAGTGGAAGCTGTGTCCTAGCTGCTCCCATTTTTCTCACTGTGAGCGGTGAGCTTGTGTGTGTTTTGGGGGTGAGAGGAGTTGATTGGCGAGTGTGCACTGGTGTGTGTTGGCACATTACACTCACATGCATGCCCTCAGAATCCTTCCCAGGACACATTGCACGTTACACGTGCAGAACTGACTGAACCTATCGTGTAGTTTAAGACCTGATTTCCCCTCCAGTGTAGAAGCTACCATCCAAGGCAACAGTGTGTTGCATCTGAAGAGGGCACAGATGGGAGGAAGGATGTCAGACCCACCTTGGCACTGGACACAGTCATCCAAGATGGCAGGTTTATAAGGGGAGCAGAGGGAAGCAGGCAGAGAAATAATGCATTTCCCAAGGATGCCAGAGTTTTACTTTGGCTTCTGCAACTTTAACAGCGGGTATTAATCATGTCACTTTTTAGATGTAATGTACACGTAGAGCCAATTGAGCATTTCATAGGGCCCAAGTAAAATGTAAGAGATTCACTGAGTCCGGAGCTGAGTGACTTTCCAAATGTGTGATGTGACGAAATACAAAATGTAGACGGAATGAGTTGATGACAGCCTGAAAGAGTTCACTGAACCGTACATGAACAACACCTTGCAGGTCTTTCCCGTGTGTTTTAATTTCTTTTCCTTTTCTGTTCCTTTGTAATTTTGAAAACTGCACTTCTTTATCTAGGAAGCATCTTCCATTTTCTCAGCACAGCCAGCTGATGACAGGGATGGTGCCTTCCCTCACAGTGACCTGGGGGCCCAGCAAAAAAAAACAACAAAAAAAAGAGGAAGCACTACTGCTTTCCCAGACTGCTGTTTGAGAACAAGTTATTTAGACTTGACCCTGGTTCTGCCAGATAAACTAGGGTGTGGCTTGCGCCTTGCAGCACATTCAGGGTGGAAGTTTAAACCATCCCGGGGCCCCAACACCCTTTTGTTTCAGTGCCCTGCCCTTTGAGGACTGACTTAAGACAATGTGTAAAATTCTCTGCCAGTGTAGCCCCTGAGGTAAGCCCTCGTGTTTTTATCATAAGTGGGCTCTGAAAATAAGCAAAGGAGCCCTGGCTGGCGTAGCTCAGTGGTTTGAGCTCAGGCTGTGAACCAAAGTGTCACAGGTTCGATTCCCAGTCAGGGCACATGCCTGGGTTGCAGGCCATGGCCCCCAGCAACCGCACATTGATGTTTCTTTCTCTCTCTCTTTCTCCCTCCCTTCCCTCTCTAAAAAATAAATAAATAAAATCTAAAAAAAAAAAGAATAAGCAAAGGAAAAACTAAAACAAGTAGAAAAAGCACAGGAGACTAGAGGACAACCCGTTAATGTTGGAAAACAGGAACCGGCTGCCATTATTAGAAACAACTATATGAAGGAAATGCGTCGCAGGTTGCTTTTCTAGCCAGAGACCATATAGTCATCCATTCTCTTTTTCTCTCTCCCCGGCTCCCGCTCCACCCATGAACTACACCAAAGGAGGAAGAATGACGAGAACATAACACTAGAGACGGTTTGCCATGACCCCAAGGTCCCCTACCATGGATTTATTCTCGAAGATGCTGCTTCTTCAAAGTGTATTATGAAGGAAAAAAAAGTGAATGGCGAGACTTTCTTTATGTGTGCCTGTAGTGCCGAAGAGTGCAATGACCACATCATCTTCTCTGAAGGTAAGTTTTCTCCTCTTGATGGTCCGGGGCTTGACTTGCTGTGTGTTGATTTCCCGTGTCCCTGGTCTGCAGTCTCAGAGTGTGCATTTCATCCTCCTGTGGCTGATGCTGGCAAGGGAGCCACAGGAGGTGCTTGTGTAGTTACAGTGTTGGTTCTGGTCCTTATTGAATCTGGCTCATAGGACCCACACTATTATTGTCTTTGCCAAATAGTGTCCTTCCCCTAGAGTAGTGGTTCTGAAAGTACAGCATCACCGGAGCATTTGTTAGAAATGCACATTCCAGGGAAGGAAACTTCCCCACTGAACCAGAAACTCTGGGTGCTGGGCCCAGCAATCTGTATTTCAACAAACCTTCCAAGGGATTCTAATCCAGCTAAAATTTGAGAGCCACTGGTCCAGATTAGAGGAGACTATTTGATACAAGTGGGGACTTGCTTTGAATGAACACACGTGGTTTTGTGTGCATGTTCCTTGGATTTGTCTAAAAGGTTATTATTATTGGCCCCATTTGAGAGAAGAACTGGGAAAGGCAGAGGGAAAAATAGTGAGTCCAGGTTTACCCATGGAGACGGGGAGGACTAAATTAGCTAATAGCCTTTATCTTTGAAGTTCAGTATTCACTCAGCTTGAAAGAAGGGCACACTCTACTCCGTCAGTTAAAAAAAAACTATTGAATAATTTTTAATTACAAGAGCAGTATATGTCCTTATCAAAAATTCAAACAATCCAACAATATGCAAAATTTGAAAAATGAAAGTACATTAACCTTATCTCCTCATTCCCAGCTCAACAGATGATCAGTTGAGAGTTTGTGGAATGCCCACGTGTCTCTGTCAGTCATTCATTCAATCTCTGCTTCTTTCTTTTCTTTCCTTACTCCCTCCTTCCTTCCCTGCCCCTCTCCATCCAGGCATCTGTCCATCTGTCCAACTATCCCTGCATCTCTCCTCTGTCCATCCATCTATCCACCTCATTCACTCACCCATCTTTCCGTGCACATAGTTGATGAGACTATAAATATTACTGGGCAACTTTTTTTAAGCAACCACTTTTTACTTCTCTTTCTAAAGACGTTAAAACATAGAGATACACTGCACACCTCTTAGTTGTATAGAAGTCCATAATGTGGATTATCTTCTATGACTGATCAAACCATTTCCATTGGGTGGACTATTTAGGTATCTCCAGTTTTTCACTTAATGCTACATTGAACATCTTTGTGCTAATATCTTGCATAGGTGGTCTGTGGATATTTCTGCAAGATAGATTTCTTTCTAAAAGTGAAGTTTCTGGATCAAAGTTATGAACGTTTTAAATATAATAACCACGACTAAATTGTTTTCCTTCAAAAAAGATATCTGAGCATATGGATTTCCATGTATCTTCTCCAACACTGGGGATTATAAGCCTTTTCATTTTGCCAGTCTGATAGTGAAAATGATATTCTCTTGGTTTTAGGAATGTCAATTCAGAATGGGAAAAGGTTACTTTAAGCCAAAATAAAAACTCCTTTTGGAACATACGTGCTGCGTCTGCACACTCCCTGAGTGTGTCCCAGTGATGGGAAATGACACGTCTCCTGTGTTGTGCCCGGTGCTCACCAGCACTGCAGACTCACCCTCTCCTCTCTGTGTCCTTGCCCTGCTGCCAATTCCCTTCTCGCTCCTGGTCCAGCTTCCCACTTACGCCAACTGCTCAGTACACGAAGGCGGACGTGGACAGCTTGTTGGTGCAACACAATCTCCAAAGTCACTCCTCTCTCCTGTTTTTCTCATTCTATAAACACACCATTTTCCTCATGTTCCTAATGTCATTTGAGGTAGGAGGGAAGCTGTAAGTAGATTCAACCACAATGAAGCATGATAACACTCGATATCCTGGCTTAACATGTCAACTTTCTCCTAGTACTTCAGCTTTTAAAAGAAGGTCCAGGCTAAGCTAAAGAAATTAATCTCTAAGAGTAGAACATCCAGACATATTTACCATCATTTGGGAAAGGTTTTTTTCTCCTTTTTCATACTGACTTGCCCACAATGGAAGAGTTTATTTCATCCTCCAAAGACACAATTTGACAAATGACCTGCAAGTTGGATGTGTATTTATTACTACAAGCTCTTAAGATACCAATGACTTCAGTTTTTAGTGTATTTCAAATCAGGTAATAATCACAAGCCCACATTAATATATTTTCCCTCTTACTCATTGTTAGACAACTTCTTATGATGTGACATAACTACCCTGAAGGCAATTTCTCATGTACACCTCTAGAAATCCAGCACAGCTGATGACTCAGATGTCTTGGTGATTTTGGAGTCTTTTAACATATTCCAAGGTTGTTTGCATTTAGTCTTCTAAAGTGAATATTCTAGGGGGTGTTTGCTTTTAAGCATCTCTCTTCTTCTTTTTTTTTAAGATTTTATTATTTATTTCTTAGAGAGGGAAGGGAGGGAGGGAGAGAGAGAGAGAGAGAGAGAGAGAAACATCAGTGTGCAGTTGCTGGGGGTCATGGCCTGCAACCCAGGTAAGTACCCTGACTGGGAATCAAACCTGGGACACTTTGGTTCACAGCCCACGCTCAATCCACTGAGCTACGCCAGCCAGGGCTAGCATCCCTCTTCTCTGCAGTGAGATCTTTCCTCCCCACCTAAAACAGCAGCATTTGGGGGTCCATTTCTTCCCTGTACTAAAGCATGAAAAGTCTTGATGTACTCTCCTCCGGTCCAAGTCAAACAAGATGGTGAACACAAAATCTCTGGAGTGTCTTCCATTGTGTTTTTTTTAAAATTTTTTATTATTAGTACAGAACTCTCCTCTTGTTGCCAGAGATATGATCTGCAGACACAATGGATGATAATTATTTACATCGCCTGATTTCTTAAATATGTGAGGAGGAGAATGTTGAGCCACAAATTTTCTTTTCAAATGTAGCTCTGTATTTTCAGTGCTGGTATGAGTCTGCATTCAGAGAGGATGTTCTGTTGCTCTGTGTACAGTGCTCAGACCTTCCCATAGCATGGCCTCAGTTGATCTCAGAGCCGCCCCACAAAGAAGGCACTGCTAGCGTCCTCACCCTAGGGATGAGGAAGCTTCCAGAGAAGTTGAACACTTTGTCCAAAATCACATGACAAGTAGGTGCCATAGGTAGGATTTACAATGGGCTGTGTATGAACTGAAAAATCTGTGAGTGTTTCCTTCTCTCCCTCCCTCCCTCCTTCCCTTTTCTCCTTCCTTCCTTCCTTCCTTCCTGCCACCCTCCCTCCTTCCCTCCATTTTCCCTCCCTCCCTTTCTTCTCTTTGTATTTCCTGCTTTTCCTCACTCTCTCTCATGCTGCTTGTCTAAACAGATAATATTTACACATATTTTAAAAAATCAAATGCTTCAGAATGGGTACAGTGAAAAGAAAGTCCTCCTTTCATTTTGTTCCCTAATTTCCCTGGCCTTTGTGAACGGTTGATTGCCCATTCTTCCAGAGGGACTTCTTCTGTAAGAAATTCTGCACGGAAACCCTGCAATTTCTTCAACAGTCAAGCTTTATTGATGTGTAGTTTAATAAAATAAAGTTCACCCTTTTAAACTGTCCAGTTGGCCAAAGTGTGACCCATGCGGACAGCTGTGTAACCACTACCACAATCAAGAGACAGAACACTTTCGTCACTCCCAATAAGTTCCCTCGAGCCCCTTTGCAGTCATATTGGGATTTTTATTCACATTTAAAAAATTTGGTTGCCTTTTTTCTTTGTGATTTTCATATTAGTTAGGCAATGTCAAGACCTCAGTCTTCTGAAGAATGGGCATGTGGAATGCCCCCGGCCTCAGGTGAGAAGCTTAGTCTTGAAAAAAAAAAAGTAAAAAAAAGAAAGAGAGAGAAAGAACGCAAAGAAAGAGCCACGTCTCCATCACTTAGCAACATAGCAGATAGTGTGAGGGCGGGGTGGGCCTCCACCTACGGTCTGCTCCTCACAAACGCGCTCCAAAAGTCACGTCTCCTTGTCCTGCCTGTGAAGGTCACCTTGTCAGAAGATGTTGTGCAGGTTTCTGAGGCAATTGGAATGTACACCAAGACCTAAGATTCCAGCTGGAAGAGAGGGTATTTGGATTGGTTTTATGGATGGCCTGGTGATAGCTGTGAGTCACATATGACTGATAAGCCTCCAGGGCCGAAGCGAACGTAGGATGTAGGAGGAGAGAAGCCAGAGCTAACAGTCACCCTATTTGCTGGCCAAGGTCGTATCCACCTTGCAAAGGCATTACGTGGTTCTCACTGAAACTTTAAGAATCATCCCCAACCTGTCATTATTTTGTTAAAGATTTTATTTATTCATTTCTAGAGAGGGAAGGAGGGAGAAAGAGCAAGAGAGAGAAACGTCGATGTGTGGTTGCTGGGGGCCATGGCCTGCAACCCAGGCATGTGCCCTGACTGGGAATCGAACCTGCGATACTTTGGTTCACAGCCCGCGCTCAATCCACTGAGCTACACCAGCCAGGGCTCCCAACCTGTCATTTTTATTCATTGCATAAATGGTTTGGAAGTGCCATAATGACACTTCGTTTGCAGAGCACTAGGGGAGGAAATGATGTCTGCTCTTTTAGGTAAGAGAGAAATAGTCCAGGGTGATGGTTCAGAGTGGCAGACAGAGGTAGGTTTCCTGGACCTAAGGCCCACGCTACCACTCACCAGCATTGCCACCCTGGGCCACCTACCTGACACGTCCATGCTTCAGTCTCCTCATCTGTTAAATAAAAATGACAGGTAGAGGGGGGTTGTTGTGATGTGAAGATTGACTCGATTCACACACACAAGGCATTGACCACAGTGCCTGGTGTAGCAGCAGGAGTCACACACTAGCCCTTAGCTGTTAGTATTATCTGGGCTTTTTCTATAGGGGTTGGGACTCCTGCTTATCTTCACACATGAAGCCAGCAGGGTTCAGCCCTCAGGTATGTTCCAGCATTGCAGTTTTGTAGCTGAGCTTGGACCACGTGGTGCTAGCAGAGCA